AGGTTATTATAATTATTATTAAATTATTAACTTTAAAAGGACAAGACTTTGCTTTATAATTTGTGAAGAAATACAATTATATTTCAGTGTGTTTGTGCTGTGAATATTCAAGTAACTGGTATAGTTTATAGCTAAAAAGGGTTTAAAAAAAAAGATCTTTCATGTACACTTTAATTTAGCATTTGGGTGGGAGGTTATTTTATCTAGACTGTGTCATCTTTTTTTGACGGACGGCTTCTTGCATTTCTAAGTTTAATCACTACAGAAGCGTATTGCATTCAGCGAAGAAAAAAGATCAGACAGCTTATCTCATAATTACGAGATCGTTATCTCGTAATTATGAGATCTTTTCTCGTAATTTCGAGATCGTAACAACGAGATCCTCTTGTAATTGCGATCTCGAAATTATGTGAAAAGATCTCATAATTATGAGATCTTATCCCGTAATTATGAGATCCTTACTATGAGATTTTTTCTCGTAACTATGAGATCACATAATCACGAGATAGTAACTACGAGATATTTTCTCGTAATTATGAGATAAGCCGTCAGATTTTTTTTTCTTTGGTAAATGCAATACGCTTCAGTAGGATTACACCTACAATAATTTGTTACATTATTTTGTAACAGCTAATTAGCACAGACCTTTTGGTTTATAAAACAAAGCTTAACCACTTCACTGATAATTACGATAAGATTGTAAATATGGCTTTCCAAATGATAGTAATTGGCTTTTAGTCCTAGTTTTAATGGAAAATAAATGTTCAATAATAAGCTATTACACAATAAAAGTGGTCTGATGATTATTTAATAATAATATTATTACTAGGGACTGGCCTATTTCTAACTAGCAGCAGCACTAGAACTAATTAGGCTAGTATTTTGTGAAATGCTAATTAGCCTGCTCGCTAGTTTAAGGCCCACAAGCTTGCACAATGAAATAGAAGCTTTTTAGTCAAGTTGGTATTTAGAAATTATCTATTTCTTACAAGCAGAAGCACTTAATTAAAAATTGATAGCTGTTAGCTAACTAAACTTGGCAAAACAAGTCTGCACTCGTGACAAGGGCTATGTTGTAGTGCTAACTAGCGCATTCATTAAAAGTAGTTCAGGATTATAGTCTTTAATAATGTAAGAGATGGCTACATCAAAATATGACAATGGTGTCTGGCACATTTTGTAGCAATAAAAAATTCTAGCAGGGATCTATGAAAAAGTAAAAATATAAAAAAAAAAAGTCAGCACTATTTTGGAGTGCTAATGCTAACTAGCATTTAATTTGACCATTTGAAATAAATGTGCCACTTTATATGTCCATCTTTTCCTAATTTTTAACTAGTTTTAAAAAAAAGTTACAAATATTTTACCATTTTATCAAAAAATTAGAACGGTGTAGCTGCATGTCTGTTTTAATTACTTGTTTTTTGTTATTTATATTAAGCAGATAAAAAGTAGCAGAGGTATTGTTGGGTATTGAAATAAATCCAATTACAGAAAGACAATTTTTTTACTTCTAGAATCAAATATTTCCAAGCCACAAAGTAAACCACAGAAAGATCACCAAATCACCACCACCAACAGTAAACACTCTGAGATCATGTGAATTCTGCAGAAATGTGTCTCTAGATTTAACAGTTGGAATGATATTTCCATTAGACAAAAGTAGTTTGTTGTCAAAGCTCTGATCTTGTTTTAATGACACTAAAAATCAATACAGAAGTCTGAATATAAAGCCTAGATGATGAAATTTATAACAACTCCATGCACAAGGTTAACTACTGGGAACAGTTTTACAGCCTGGTCCTTGACAACTCTTTGTCAACCGAACAATAACGAAAAATTACATTCAACCACATGCAATGGTTGATAAAAGACTTGCATCTTCTCTTTAAGTCCCAGAATGTAGTAACCTGGTGATCTTTACAGATGATGAATCACTAAGACATTATTGTTGGCATGCTATCTGGTATCAAAGTGCAATTTTCTCGGTCAAATTTGTGGTCAATAGTTATTAACAAATGCATTTCTCTTGGCAGGTTTTATTTTCTTCCCTTTATGGAGGCATACTTGGTATACTTTATAATCATAATAAGAGTTGTAAAGTATCTGAGCTTAGTAACCTGTACAATACAATCCATAACTGCTCACACTGCAGTTCTTTACCACATAAAAAAAGAACTCCAGCAAGAAGTCATTTACAAAAACATGTACTTCTTTGGATAAATGAAGTTCAGTGATAAATGGTTCAAAAAAAATAACATGCATGATTTTTCTTTGCATGCTTCTTCAAAAAAAGAAAAAGTACCAAATGAATCAAAATCCAAAGTGCAAACAGAGGAAAATAATCTGAATTCTTTCAAATGTGTTCAAGAGGCTGCAGATACTCAGCACAAACAGTAACTACAGGGTGGCTATAACGATATTGGGTATAAGGATGTTTCACAAATGGACATATTGGCAAAAATGCACAACAGCAAATGAGCAGGTACCTGATAATTTCCAGATTGGATTATAGAATGATGCCTATTCTAAATTACATGCCCTTTCTGTTTGGCCTTTTGAGGAATGCGTTGAGATTTTTTGGTAAAGTCTTCAGCTGTTAAAAGTCAAATATCCAAGTCCAGAGTAGAGCACTTTATGTTGGTGCAAAGCACATTACAATCAACATCTGTTAATCTATAAAACTCAAGGTTTCTTTCTAAGTAAATACTGACCCCTGCAGGTTAAAGCTGCTGTGACAGGGAAAAAAAAGCAAACTGCACATAAGAAATGGGTTTAAAACATGTTAGTCTATGTTAAAAGGAATGTTTTGGATTTAAATCGAGACAGCAATAACTCACTCCTAAATGTTTCCACCCTTTATTTTGAAGTTTATCCTGCAAATTTTAACTAAAAATCAAACAACTCTGTTCGAGGAGCTGCAATGATTTCTATCAAGAATCGGTTTATATTCCACATGAATCTGTGAGTAGAAAGAGTAGAATTTGGAAAAAAAAAAAAATTTCCAAATAAAATGTCCAGGCATCTGCATATGACCTAATAGTGAATTAACCTGATATGGAGTTACATATGATTAATCTAAATTATACTGAACAGTTCAAAGTCCAACTGAAAATCAATATCAAGAAACGGATTTAAAAAGTTTTAGAATTCTCCAGCTAGAGTCTAGAAAATATAGAAAATCCATGTGAAGAAGGTTGTGAAATCTGCCTCCTCCTAAAGAAGACTAATTGTTATAATCAAAGAAAAGTATTGATTTAAGTCTCTGCATACTTTTGCACAAAGGTCATTGCCGCCGGTTTTTTATACAACTTTTGAATAACAGATGTGTTTGATTTTCCTGTTAAATTAGACAGGATACTAAGCGGTTGGAAAGGATTTATCATGGTCTCAGTTGATAGTGTGAACCTGTCGTGTAGATTTGATAGATGTCTAATTTTTCAGCAGTTCAAATTAAAGCTTTCTTCCATTATTGGAAGAAAACAAAGAAAAAAAATCTAATATGTAATCGGGGGGAGATAAGAAATAAAGGCAGCCAGTGCTCACAAGAAAAAAGGCAAAGAGCATTCCCTATATATATCTAAAAACCATTTTCTCTGGACAGAAATAAGGAAACAAAACAATAAAATTAGGCCTTTTTTTTGTTTGTTTTTTTCCCTCGACCATTTAACCTCAATCACTCACCAGCGTTAGTAATCAGTAGTAAAACTCATGTACAGCTACAAATATACATACATTATCTATACATAGTACCATCGGTTCACCAGTCAGAGTGGACAAACAGGAAACACACAGAAAACAAGAGAATAAAAATTAAATACAGAAAAACTAGATGCTTTGGTAGAAAAAAAAAAATCTTAATGTACCATAAACTTTGTGCACAACCCGTTTCCAACGCTGTGTTAATTTGGGGGATGTCAAAGAGAAATCAAATCTACACAAAAATATTTTTCTGTCCACTTAAGACAAAATTAAAACATCCAGGTAATGGAAGTGGAGGCTTAAAGAAAGTTAAATCCATCTCAAATTTCAACAACCATAGAAGTAAAACAGAACCTAAGTTAATAAAGATGTTCTAGTGCAGCTTTTAGTCACCAGAGGACCATATTCCACAGTAGTCCTGCTAACTTAGCTAATGTCCTCCTCCAGGCTGCAATGGCACAAATAAAAAACAAAAAAAGCATCGAAACAAAATCCCATCTCTGTTTAGATGAAATAAGAATCCCAATAAGCATATTCTTAAAGGCGAGATTTAATGAAGGGTACACCATCATACAGGTGTTTTATTAGCTAATGGAAGTATGTGCTCTTAGTTTGAGAAAGAGCGTGCCTCTCTTCTATAACACCTACAGGATTGAACGAGAGGAAAAAGATTTTAAAAACAAAAATATTGTAAGTTACGTTTTGAACCTAGTTTAAAAATATAAGGCATTTTTAAACTGACTATAGATGAAAGACCAGAACTAGTTTCTAATTAATCCTGCTGCTGATTATGGTGAAAGCAGTCTTTGAGTGCAGTGAGATACTAGAAGAGCAGCCTGACAAAACTGCAATTAAAATAAATGGCAAGGTCCCCATCGCCATCTAGTGGTTGGCATTTGACATTACAGCTCCAATTTTTAAATTACGTAAAAACATTTTCTTCTTAGAAAAAAATCCCTTAATTATATCTTGTTAAAACTACATATTTTTACAGATAAGGGCCTAAAAGATATATATAACAATCATGATCATACCCGAGCCGTAATGTGTCAGATGTCAAAAAGCTGTTCAAAAGCTGCCGCTTTACTCAAGAGTTTAAAGCTTTTCAAAATATACATATTAGGAAAAAAAAAAAAAAAAGTTTAAAGCTGTTTGAGACACAAAGTTTGAGATTCCCTGGGTCGCCATTAAACAGCAAAGCTGACTGGCGGCAAACGTCAGAAAAGATGCAGGGGAAAAATAATTGAAAGACATTTAAACTAATGTCTTTTTTTTTAAAACGTTTAAAACAAAAGATTGATTAATGAATATTTCCTTAGCAAAATTGACAATAACAGTAAAAATAAAAAATTACAGCTCTGTAGACAAGGACAAAACAGTGATTTTAAAAAAAGGATAAAATTAGCAGATAATCATTTGTACCCCACATATGATCACTACAGACCCCTATGTTTTTTTTCTTTTCTTTTCTGACTCTGTAAAATCCAAAAGTCTAGTTGAAAGAAATATCTGCCCCCGACCGGCCAGGTGTGATGGAGGATGACGTAGAGTCGGCCAGTGAGGTGTTACTATTGTCCCTGCTCTTGTTCAGGCTTCTCCGAAAAGGAGTCGACTGGAAACTGGGTGTGGAGCAGTTGGAGGGCGGGCCCGAGCCGGGGCTGCTGTGATTGGACAGCGCGGTGAATACAGAATCGTTGCGGGAGCTTTTGTTTTGAAGGTCTGGGGGGATGAGCTGGCTGATCTCTTCTGGCAGGCGACGGTACTCGTCCTTGAGTTCTCGATCCAGCTGTGACTGAAGCTGTTCATGAGCAAAAAGACAAACAGAGGCTCATTAGTATGGGAGGTGCCAGTCAGCTAATGTGATAAAGGGGCTAATTTCTCAGTTTCTTTTTTTTTATTTAATCCACAGAATTCAAGAGAATCATGAAACTATGCATTAACTCAGAGCTTACTGATCAGAAAACAGTGCAGTTTACGCAATGGATATGAAAGAAAGCTCTTATAGAGCCATTAAGACACATTTTTAGTGCTAATAAAGTGCATTTCTAAACCCAAATTTTATTTTTCACATAATCTTTCTGTAGGCAACAATTGCTGTTATCTACAGATTAAATTATTATGTTCCAGATCATAATTAGCAGTGGCTGTTTTCCTCTGTCAGAGTTGGAAAATGATAAATTGTACAGCAACCAGCACTGACATGAAGCAAACAAATCCTCTGCAGTAAAGCACTGACAGATTACATAAAGACAAATGAGATATTTTTAAGGTGTGCGCTGCCTGTTTAATGCAGCTTATAACTTTATATATGATTCTGGGAATACAGAAATGGGGGAAATTATGTTTTCCAGCGCTCATATGAATCAAAATGCTGGCATTTGAATAGGGTTAGATTAGAGATTTTGCAATGAAATGTTTTTAGTTATGGTGACATCCAGGATGTCTCAACACAGAGCTGCAACTAAAAGCTTTAGGACAGCAACTCTACAAATTCTCATGTTTTCATACCAGGAAAGATGAAATCATATTCCAGACATTTAAATATTGCGAAAGAAACCTGGAATTAAAGCTCATCCTCAAGTTTTATGGTCTTTAGATCAGTTTTTAATCAACCCTACTCTTCAAGTATTATATACATATCTTAGGCTACATCACATGGCAGTCTGACGTGAGCCAAATCTGATTTTTTTTTTGCCCATAATGCGACCTGTATCTGTTCTTTTAATGACAGTCTGAACACTGATCTTTTGAAGATCTACTCTTTGACGTGTCTGAATGGACAGGTCACTCCAGATGCCTTTTAATGTCCCATTCATTTAAGGCAAGTGTGGGACAGCTTGACCAAAAGACAAGGTTGAGAAAGCCTGCTTTAGTTTGATTATTAATTAAATACATTTAAGTTAAAAAGAGTAAAGTATTAGGAAAAATTTTTCTTTTTTCACACTAATTTGTCAGTGCTCACCTGAGGAAGCAGAGCTTCCAGCTGTTGCAGCAACTCCTGATGCCTCAGCCCTAACTTGTCTTGCCTCATACTCTGCGCCTTTTCCAGCTGATGAGCAGAAAGTGGAGAAGAGATTTAAGATAAAAAACTGAAAATGAAACGCAAGAAAAAAATCACAAAAGAAACTTAATCATAGCAACATCGGTAAAAGCTGCTCCAGAGAAATAAATGAGGCCAGTTAACACATGCTAGGAGCCTCAGTGATGCGTGTGCACGTGTGGGGTGGAGTACGTACCCTGCGGATAGCCTCGACAGACTCGTTAATGTGTTTCCTGTTGATCTCATTTTGGTCCCTAAAGAAAAGAAATAATCAGAAGGAGAAAGTCTGAACAAAAAGGTAACCTCTTCATGTTTATCTCAGAAACACAAGATTAAAAGAAATGTAAATATTTTGTACACATTCTCTTTGGACTTTGCTTCAACAATGCTGTTTATTCGCTTCCTTTCCAGCATCTTCTGAAGCTCCTTCTTCTCCCTGCAGGCATAGATATAGTTTAACTTGATATGTAAAATACAAAAAAAAGATTAAAAAAGTGTAGCTGAACTTAAAAAAACATGGGGAAAATAAATTCTATTAAACTATTGCCTTGTTTTTGTGTGTGTGGGAATAAGGTTGCTCTTACTTTTCACAGGTTTCTTTTTGTTTCTTCAGCTGAGCGCTGTGGCTTTCAGCCGCCATCTGCTTTAGCTTCTGGAAACCCTAAAAAAAACAGAGCAGGTGTCTTAGTAACAGGATGGTGACACTCGGCAAATTTTAGGCCAGACTTTCTTGATGCCTCTGAGGTCATAAGAGCTACACATGCATCTAAAATGGTTGAGTGAGAGCTTGCTGGAGGTTAGCAAAGCTCTGTGCTTACAGAACAACGGTCTTGTTACATACAAACAGGAAGTGTTGTTAACGCTATAAGTGACATTTCTGTATTGAGTTCTGTGGTGGGGCGTTATTACCTCTGTCAGGTGGTGCTGTCGCATCAGTTTTTCCTGAGCGTAAAAATCTTGTCGCAGCGTTAGGAGCTCATGCATTTGCTGCTCCTGGAGCTGGGCCATCTGCTTCTCCAGGTCCCCGTTCTCAGAATCACTGGAATAAACACCAGTTTAGCCATACTACCCTTAAAAGTAAAATTTATGCTCTGTGGCTGACACATTTTATCCTATCTTCTCATCAAAACGCTTGGTTTAAGCTAGGGGTCGGCAACCTTCCAATCCAATACAATCCATCCATCCAATAAAACTCATTTGGCCGCAGACATTAAATGATGTTTTTAAAAGAGAGAAAAGGATAACTTATATTTTATAAATGTCTACCAAAGATTTTTCCTGTTTTTATATTACCATTACACCATTTAAAATTTTAGGTTTTGAAATGAAGGAAAAAACTTGCACAAATGGAATAGATATATATTTCAAGTGGGTAAAAGAGGATTAAAAAAAAAAATCAGTAAAAACAAACAAAAAAAACAGTATTTAGAGTCTATTTATTTGGGGAATTAGTGAAATGGGAAAATGTGAACCAGCGTTTGTTAGTACCGTATTGTATGGATTAGAAGTCGCTCTGGACTACAAGTCGCACCAGCCGTAAAATGGATTACGAAGAAGGAAAACAGAGATAGACTACCGTTCAAACGTTAGGGGTCACATTGAGATGTCCTTATTTTTGAAGGGAAAGCGCAAACAGGCTCTAACCAGAGTAGAAAAATAAGTGGGAGGCCGCGTTGCACAACTAAGCAAGAAGATAAGTACAATAGAGTCTCTAGTTTGAGAAACAGATGCCTCACAGGTCCCCAACTGCCATCTTCATTAAACAGTACCCGCAGTAGCCTGTTTGTGCTGTCCTCTGAAGGGAGTAGTACACATCGTTGTAGGAAATCTTCAATTTCTTAGCAATTTCTCGTATGGAATAGCCTTCATTTCTAAGAACAAGAATAGACTGTCGAGTTTCAGATGAAAGTTCTCTTTTTCTGGCCATTTTGAGCGTTTAATTGACCCCACAAATGTGATGCTCCAGAAACTCAATCTGCTCAAAGTAAGGTCAGTTTTGTAGCTTCTGTAACGAGCTAAACTGTTTTCAGATGTGTGAACATGATTGCACAAGGGTTTTCTAATCATCATTTAGCCTTCTGAGCCAATGAGCAAACACATTGTACCATTAGAACACTGGAGTGATAGTTGCTGGAAATGGGCCTCTATACACCTATGTAGATATTGCACCAAAAACAAGACATTTGCAGCTAGAATAGTCATTTACCACATTAGCAATTTATACTGTAGAGTGTATTTCTTTCAAGTTAAGACTAGTTTAAAGTTATCTTCATTGAAAAATACAGTGCATTTCCTTCAAAAATAAGGACATTTCAATGTGATCCCAAACTTTGAACGGTAGTTTATATACGTCACACTGAAGTATGTGACATTTTTGGGGGAAATTTATTTGATACAATCCAACACCAAGAACAGACATGTCATCTGGAAAGGCCATTTAAAATCAAAATAAAATAGAGGCAACAACAGGCTGAATAATTGTAAAATATTCTAACATTACATGACACACTAACAACAAACGGAGAACATGCCTGGTATGTTAACATAACATATTAATAGCTATTCAGATAACTAGCATAAATGACATTCTAACAAGTTTATCAAAACTTTGTCACTCTAAATGACTAAATCCAATAAAATCTTCATCCTTGGTGTCACTTTAAACAACTCCGCTAACTCCAAACGTTCTTTCTGCTGCTCGATTACCATTTTCAGCTACATATTTTTCTACTTAAAAATTGTAATCTGCAGAAAATGATTTTCTTTTTGGTGCCACTTTGGTAAAGCCCTTCTGAGTTGTTTTTATAAATCAACGCCAATAATGACATCATCAACACAGCCCTAGAGTGCCCTCTTTAGTGTGAAAATAACATGTGAAATTATAAAATTATGTGTTAATAATTTCCCACGTAAGTTGCTGCAGAGTATAAGTCGCAGCTGCGGCAAAACTATGAAAAAAACTGCGACCTATAGTCCGGAAAATACGGTATGTGCATTTTTCCAAGGATTAGCTGGCTCCTCGTCATATTCAAGGCAAAGTAATAAAGAGAGATAAAGTTGAGTGTGTATAGCAACCTGACTCCGCCAGATGGATTTGCTCCGCATATCCATCTGGAAACCTTCGGTTGAAGTAATTTTGGGAAAGGGCGAAAATACTGGTTAGCTGATTGGCCTATGTTGGTGATAGACGGGCCAAATAAACCAATCAGATCAACGAAGCATATGACGTACTAACAGCCAGGCTACTCTTGCCGAAACCAGTCGGGAGAAGAGCAAAAACATCTTTTCCTCTGAGAAAAGCCTCCAGAGCAGCGTTTTGCTCTTCCTTCAGTGAAGAAAAACTCTGTAATTGCGATAAAACTTACTCGATAGCCACGCTAATGCTAGTTTCATCGGTTGAAGCTGCCATGTTCTTTAGACTGAACTGTCACGCTTCTCGTTGCGTCACACCTCAACCCGCCTCAAAGCCAACGCTGATTGGACGTTCGTTTGGTGAACGGCTCCAAATTTTCTTCAACGGAGAGTCTCCAGACTGATTAGCGAGTGAAATCTTGAAAGCTTGCGAGATCAGGATGGTCTCACGAGGCTATGTCTATAGAGCCACAGGTTGCAGACCACTGGCTTACTTCATACATCACTTTTTACTTACCTTTTCTTTATGCTACGTTTAAAGTTTTTCTCAATGATGGTGGACTTCTTCTGACTTTCAGACACCATCTAAAAAAAAAGCAAAAAAAAAAAAAAAACATTTAAAGCACAAGAGAACAAATTAAAATTCTCAAATCCAATTTAAGCTTTTTCTATTCTGTTTTCACCTTTTTCTTGTTTTTCTTCCGCAGCTCATTAAGTTCTTTAGTCTGTTTCTTTGTCAGTTTAGTGTAACTCTTGTGTGCTTTCAGGTCCTCCACTGATAGAAACTGGATCTCTACAAGAAACTTCACATTAAATCCAGCTTATGTTTCCCCCAAAGGACATTTTAGCAGTTGCAGCTTTACTGAATGAGACAAACAGGATGACTTTATTCATTTCAGGCTTGAAATGAATGTGTTGTGACAGTCTTACCTGTGAGAACAGTGGCAACCAGATCCTCCTTAGGAGTTTGTACTACACATGGAGGCACAGAGACATGGGAGAAAGGAAAAAAACACACGAAACACTCACAGTTTATGTGTGGGTGACAATGGAGAAATGAGGCATGTAAAAACTTGTGATTAAGTTGACTTGAATGCAAATTCATCAGAAAGATTTTTTGCAGATGCAGAATAAAATATGTTATGATTTGTATGGTAAGATCTGAAAAAATCTTTACAAATGATTATCTTTCACCATATATTACACCATATCTTCTATCATATCACTTGAAGTTTTCCCCATTAATCACATTAAAACAAATGTTAAAGTGCTAACAGGATGGCTTAACACTCAGGGTTTGAGTCACACTACAGTCTCATGGTCAACCTTAAGCTGATTCCGTATGGCAAGACTTTTTAACATAAATTTGGTTTCCTCTGACCATCCATAATTACGTTCCAGATATCTTAAAATACATTTTGACTAGACAAAACCACATTTTGAAAATCCGGAATGGTAATTTACGATATCTGTATTAAAATTCTGATTAGGAAGAATAGTAATTCAAGATATCTTAAATAAAATTTTGACTAGTCAAAATATAATTAGAGATATCTTAAATCGCTAAAACGTCTAGTCATGAAACAATTTGAGATATCTTGAATGTAAAGGCGGTACAACCGAATTTATGTTAAATCAGCTTGCTATAGACCTGGCTTTTTTTGACCCTTCTCATCTCTGATCGTTCCCTACCCATGAGCTGGAACCAAAAAAATAACGGTACTGAAGGAGACCTGGGTCAAGTGTAGCCAGTGAAAAAGGGGCATTAGTCATTAAAATCAGAACTGCACTTTAAATCTTTAATGTTGTGGTTGCAACATGATAAAATGCACACATTACAGCGCTTTGCTGCAGTTCTCAGGTCCAAAGTAGTGCATTTAAACTGGCTTCCAATGCAGCATTGAAATATCCTGATGGCTTTGCAGTAGAAAATAATTGCTTAATGTGTATAGGGTTTTTAATTTAAGGTGAGAGTAGTTTCTGTTCTGATTATGATTCAAAACAATAAACAGTTTTTGTTTTTTTTTAATATTGAATCACAACGTCCGCTGGGGTATGTAAACTTATATGCACATCTATAAAATAAATTTTTGAGTGAGGATAAAAAAAAAAGGGTTTGAAACAGGTAAGTGAAATTTCTAAATATCCCTACCAGGTGCAGGTAACCTGGGGATGTCAGGAGATTCGTCAAGGAGACTTAAGGGAGGCGGCAGCAGAGGAGAAGGGAGTGAATCTGTTGGAATGACCTCCGTCTCTTTGCTGAAGTCTCCATTTTTGGGTTGCTGTTCAACAGTAAACATTTCATTAATTAACAAAGACAAAAAGCAGAGACTGATAAGAACCCAACAAATAGGGGAAGTGCAGGCCAAATCTTTTACAAAATAAAACATGCACTTCTCTCACCTCACTATTTTCATCCATGAAAACAGCAAGCTGTGTCTCTCTCTTGGCAAACTTACTGATGTGCTTTATGGGGTTGGTCAGGGCATCAGCATAATCTGAATAAAGACACACCAAAGAAACAAATGAAACTCAGTGTTTGCTTAGCTTCATCACAGTTTACCTTTATTAGTTGTTCGAGAAGACAAAAAACAACATGTTAAATAATAAATTATGCAATATAAAATACAGATGTTTGGAAAATAAGGACGTTAATATACACATGAGCGGGGCGCTAACTGCTAAGCTAGGCTAACAAACCGCTGGCTCTAAACTACTAATAAGTAGCAGGAGCTATTTTTTGTCAGAAAATTTGTAAATATATTTCCGACTGATAATCAAAGCATTTACTGCAAAATAATTAAGGGCACTAGTTAAATAATATGCAGACAGAACAATACAGTTTGTTTAAAAGTACTGGTTAGCTAAATTATAGCTAATTAGCTAGCTAAATTAAACAATTACCAAAACACAGGGAAAAAAACGGTAATTTTGTAATCTGAGCTCAGTGCTACATTTCCTCCAGCTGTATTAAGCATTGAATTGCACCAAATTATGTTCGTTTTTTTAATGCTTTTTGCTATGGGCTAATTTAGTGTCTTTAGAACTTCCGTAAAAATTCAAGAAATATCCACTGGACTTGGTTTCCAAGATTTGAAGACGTTTCGCCACCTCTCCAGGAAGCTTTCTCAATTCAATTCATCTGAAAAATCTTGGAAACCAAGTCCAGTGGATATTTTTTTAATTTTTACGGAATGACTATGACCTGGATGACTGAGAACCTTCATCAGCGTCTTTAGAACTTAATTCTTCTCAAACCGATATAATCTAATAAGGATGTCATATTGATGTAATTTAATCCAAATTGAGTGCTAGCATTTAGCACAAGTTTTGAAACCATTTGGCACCTTTAAGACACAGTAGATGCTTCAGTCCAAATTGTATTTTTTATATGAATGGACTTCAAACATGGGAAGTTTATATGATAAATGTTGATGCATCTATATACAACAAGTCTAAATAGATTGAAGTTATTTTTACCCATTTCCTTTTTTATATAAATATAGAAAATTATTTTCCAAAGTATTTGAATTTGGAAGATTGTTGTTTTTAAACCCAAAAGAAATAAGTTTGGGGTATATAGACAGTGCTTTACGTAGACTGCAAGTATCTTACAAATACGTTATTGCAGTCCATAATGGGAAAACTAATATGTACTATTTTATTTCTAACTCAATGCAGTATATACAATTTATAAGGAGTTTGACACCTATTTAAGGTGACTTAAATTGCAGTCTGCCAAATACAGGGAAGAATCCAGTGCAGGATTTATTTTTAAAGGAAGGTTTGATGCACAGTGGTGTTTCCGGTAAACTTTATAAAACAGAAAGTAATAAAACCTGAAGTTTTTCTTGTCAAATAGCAGCCCTCCTTTAATGACACACTGCCTTTTAAACTTTATCATTCCATTATCTTTACTATTACTTGTTTTCTACTTTCTCTACTTGTCTTATTTTCCTTGATTAAATATAGCAGTATCACCATCATTTAATAGATGTGCACAGTCTTAGAAATACAGAAAATAGTTTTTCTTGACCTAAAAATGAACATGTATTACTTCTGTTAGATGATTGTTTATTTAAAGGACAGGTTCTTCTGGCAGTGATATCAATTTGGCACATGTACCTTGGTGTTCATCAGGGATAAAGTCCTTGGCTTCAATCTCAACCAGCAGAGAGGGCAGGAAAAGTGGCTGATTAAGCTCATTCTTTAGGCTAATGTAGTGGTAACCTGAAAAGAAGACATAGAAAACAAATGAAAAACAATAACAAAATCAATATTAATTAATGACAGGAAGAGAAAATGAATAATCAATTAATCTGTCAATTATCTTTTCAATTAATCGATAATTCGGATAGCAAAAGGTTAGTTAGAGAAGATTTTTTTACGGAATTAAACCAGGGGAAACTAAAACTTTTCCACTTGTGAGATCTGGATAAAGCATATTGACAGATGAAAAGGGTTTTTTTTTTTTTTTATCTTAAATGCAAAATATTTATATATATTTTTGGTTTTGGTATAATTTTTGCTCAAATTGGGTTGCCTGTCAGCTAAATTCATGTTTAAGAGTCTCCATACTCCAGTTAACGATGAATCAATTTTTTTCTTTACATGCTTAATCCCAAGTGGAGTCGCGATGGGTGCTGGTGCCCATCTCCAGCTGTCGATGGTCGCCAGTCCATCGCAGGGCAACATAGAGACAAACAGGACAAACAACCATTCACACACACACTCACACCTAAGGAGAATTTAGAGAAGCCAATTAACCTAACAGTCATGTTTTTGGACTGTGGGAGGAAGCCGGAGTACCCGGAGAGAACGCACGCATGCTCAGGGAGAACATGCAAACTCCATGCAGAAAGACCCAGGACCGGGAATCGAACCCAGAACCTTCTTGCTGCAAGGCAACAGTGCTACCCTAAATTAGTTGACGATTATTTTAATATTCGATAACTCACGATTATTCTGATTAATTGTTTCAGCCCTATTTCACATATATTAATGGCAGTTAGCTTACCGGGTCTGATGGCAGACACAGGGAGAATCCGGTGTCCAATAAACTTGCCATTTTCCTCAAAAACAGCTATCCTCAGCGAGGCCAGTGAAGGAAGCACCACCTGGAACATTTAGAAACCAACACATAAATTTGAAATGTGTGACAGATTAAATGGGAGTAAAAGATTTATCAAAGAAAAAAAAGTGGTGCTCTGTGAGCGACCTTATGGAAAGTGGTGCTTTCATCTTCCCACACAGGGTCCAGGGAGTTCCCATTGGAGGTCTTTGTTCTGAACTTCCTCTTTGTATCGGCTGGGAGTCCAAACATGTCAACCTCCACGTATACACCCACCTTTTTCTCTGTCAGAAACTGACCTGAGAGCACCTGGTGGATGTGAAGCGCCACAGTTACAGAACAGGCTTTTTCAATCAGCCAATAAAAAAAAAAAATGACACCTTGGTTTGTACCTTAACGGTGATTTTATTGGCAACGATCCCATCCACTATGCCTTCCGTAAAGGGATCAAACTGTTTGTCCGTCCTCCTCATGAACTCTGGCTTCAGTAGATAGCCGCTGTGGCCATTATACTCAAATACACCCATGTTCAACTGCATAGGAAGGTCTGCATGACAACAAAAAAGAAGAAGAGGGAGAATATTCCTGTAAACAATTCCCTACATATTTTTGGTGTAGTATAGACAAATAAATGGTGATAAATTCCTCTTTAATAGCAGCAGTACAACATCACACTAAAAAATACTTTAGAAAAATAAAAAATGTATGCATAGTACATTAATTCGGTAGGGGAAAGGCTTTAAGAAGTATATATTTTTTTAAAACAGACATTTTAGGATAATAAAAAAAAGAGGAATCTTTTACATGACTCCTTACAGAGCTAAAAGAACAAAAAAAGCCATAGATCTCCAAATACCAAAACTATAAACACTGCATAGGGTTTTTAAATGATTCCTTAGTTTGTTTTCACTTTTTTAGGAACCTTAAAATAAGCAAAGCTGCTTTTATATAACACAAAAATGAGGGCAGCATGTTTGAAACAGCGCTCTACTTTAGATGAAGTGAATATATAGGATATTGAGAGGCTTTTTTGATCTGATGTCCCACTGCAGCCTTGTCCACATGACCTTCAGGTCCACATCATCCCAGATTCACCAATTAATCCTTGTATTGGGGTGTTTGCTGCCAAACAGCACAATCTTAGTCACATCTGACTAAAGTATAAGTCCCAGCAGAATGTCCAAACCTACAACCTTGTTTCCTCTTCAACATGTTTTCAAAGTGTTTTTACTGCCGTCAGTTGACAGGTTTGGTAAGTGCTAAAGTAGTTGCCTATTTATGGAGATTTTTTCTTTCATGTAATTCTCATTTTAGTATAAAACAGAAACTGGCTTCTCTAGGATGACAAAAGAAATAATTAATACAGCGATTTTACTGATTTTTTTTTGTGCGGCTGCTGGTGAGGTTATAAAGATGTGTTAAAGAGCCACACAGACCAATTTCTCACCAAGAGTCTGAAAGTTCAGCGCCACCATCTGGCAACCGACGTTCCAGAAGACCTGAGGCATATAGTTGGAGCTGTCCACCCTCGTTCCTTTGGGGTAGATCCTGCTCAGCTGGTTCTTATTGTATCTGGGAAAGTGCTGTGAAGGATCACTATGCTGTACAGATGCAGGGAGGAGCAACATCTGTAGGTTCTATGCATCACATGCTGGAAGCAGTTCCTAATGGTGTTCAGACTGATCTTTGCTCCAAACTTAGTCTGCCTTTTAACAAAAACTAAAAACACATGGATCAGATAATTGAAATATTAATGATTTATAATTTAGGATCTGATTTATTTGCCTAATAATTCCTGAAACCAGCTGATCATCTATATGGGTTCATTTGGGACCACATGGTAAAGGGATTTAGGTTCTATAGATCTTTTTTTTCAGAAACAATCTCTCCTTCAAGCTTTTAAGGATACTCAACAAACTCAATGGGGGAGTTTTTCAGGGCGTCCATTCCTTTGGTTTCCACAAATGAAGACATCTCAAAGTACTTCCTCCTCTCTGGAAAAGGAGGAGTAAAAAAAAGGAAGTTTGTGAGAATAACATTAGAAACTGGCAATGAACAGGAAGAAAACAACATGATAATAGTAAATCTGTTTGAAGTCATCTTTATTCCACGTTGTCTATAAACACACTTACTAGCTGCCGCCTCAAAGCTCTTAAATTTCACAGGTTCGATGTAGTTGACCAAAGTGGACATCTCCTCAGTGGCGTTCACCTCACTGCTGGCTGTACCCTGAGGAGAGAAGATGGCTGTTATCCACCAGCAGAGATACTCAAAGGACCCAGCAGTCCTCTCTAGTGCCTCTTACCTCGTCAGAAGTGGGCTTTTTAAGCTCTTGCACTGGTTCATCATCTTCCTCATCATCACTTTCTCCTTCACCTCCTACCAGAACAAGTTAAATACATCAAGAAGAAAAGATACTTGTATCCACTGGTTGAATCTATTGGATTCTGTTGGCACCTACCCAGGGACTTGCGAGGCCCCACGTCTTTGATGGCCCTTTCTGCCAGTTTTTGCTCGCCGTTGGAGAGGAGATGCTGTCCCTCTCTGTCTGTGAGGGGACAATCTGCACAGAGAACAGCCGGATGTCAGCTTAAACACCACTGCCACAACCTTAAGGAGCCAAACCTCCCTGTAACCTTTCAAAGTGATCCTAATCTAAACTTTTCTGCAGATCCAAGTTTGTTTTTTTTTATCTTCCCTGTTACCCATAAAACATGCTTCAGTTTTTCTTACCATCAGAAATTTATCCAATTATGTATA